CTAAAATTTCAAAATCAAAAGTTATCAAAACAAATTCTATGGGACTGAGAAATATTATTTTCTACTTTTTAGTCCATTTATAAAAGCGTTGTATATTAAAAAGTTTTTTTTATATTATTTATTTTTTCGAATGTAATTGTTTATTGCCATCTGTACGTAATACATTCAGCAAATTATTTGTCTCAACATTCATACATATAAAATTATAAAGTCATTGTCTCATTGCCGTTTATGGAATGCAACCGTTGGAGTTGGCCGTTTGTAATGAATTGAAGTGTGCTAACAATCATTCTAGGCACCGGTTACTCAATGTCTGGTTAACACTAATCTGCGGTTAAACATCGTTATCGACGTCTTAGACTCCATGCATATAACAGGGAGTCGGTAAAGTCTATAACTACGTTTAACCGCAGATTACTGCTAACCAGACATTGAGTAACCGGCCCTAAGAGTTTTCAATCGGAATCTTTGTAGTATTTCGATATTTGAGTTTGGTGCGTCGCCACACAGCTAAATACCATAGCTCCAAATCTGTTTTATGGCAGTTGAGTACAGCAAAGGTTGATAGTTGGAAGTTACGGTTTATAATCCAATGTAAGTTTCTTATCTTTATGTTACGTTCTCATTGATCCACAAACTCGAGTTTATGGGCCATTTTGGAGTTTAACGCTAAACTCTACTCTTAAAGTCGGAGTTTCCATACAAACATTTCGTTAAACTCTCCTTAAACACAACTTTTATTTGAAGTTTATCCGAATGCAACCGTTTTCTTATGGAATTTGGTCTGTGTCTTTGATAATCCAAACCTGCAACCAACTTACCGACAGTTAGCCTGTTCCCGTACTACAGGATTTAATCAGAGATAGTCCGAGGTCGTTCCGTGCTTTAACTCGTGCACTTTCCTCTTCTAAATGCAGATTTAATGCAAGCAAATTTCGTGAATTTTAACAGCATTTGCGAATTTCAATATGGCAATACTGCCGAATTTGACAGCTGTTTACTATTGTGAATGGAAGAAGTTGAGTTTGCTACTGTCAAAAGAAAATTGATACATACACATTCATTAATGATACATACTGAAAAAACGAAAAATAAGCAAAGGTCAGTATTTTTATTTATTTAACGTAAAATTTAAACAAATATAATATTCAAAATGTGTATTTCTCAATTTCAGATGTCAGCAACAAAAAAACGTGTTGTATGGAGCGAGCAGGATGACCAAATCCTGATTGAGCTGTGGGCGCAACGTGCTGCTGATTTGCGTCGAGCCAAACGAAATGGGCATATTTATGCTGATATTTCCAAGCAAATGGCGCATACAAAAGTGCGCAATTTGACCCAAAAACATAGGTAAGTTCTTCTATCAGGGAATGTTTAGTTATTTGCCCACAGTTTTTGGGTTAGTGGGCGGAGGAGGAGCTGGTGAGGCTCTTGATATCCCACTCACTAGAAACAGCATAGTTTACACTTTGTAAAAAGTCATAACTGACCCCTTAAAACATCCCAAAAGCCTCTGGGGTACCCATTGGAAATGGTATAACTCACTCCGAAGTTTAAAAAAAAGTGCATATTACAGACCGATTTTATTAATAAATGAGTGAACGAAAATTACAAAATTAGGTTCAATAATGAAATGTAGGCCCTTGGCTACAACTGTGTGTATCGGGTCACCCATTCGGATACAATAGCTCGAAATCACTGGGCAAATAACTAAACCGTACCCCGTCTATCAAAAAACTTGGCGCACAATATTGACATATAAATATGTACGTACATAAATTCACAGGGATGAGAAAAAGAATGTGGGTGCGTCAGGTGGCAGTCCATCAACATGGAAGCATTATATAGCGCTACACCAAATTATTGGAGGAACCGCTGTTAACAATGCGGAAGTACACGAGTCATTTTTATTAGTATGTATTTTCAGTTCACTTTTATTTTGTTTTCCAAAATATTTGCATATGTTCCCAGGACACAATACTAAATGAATCCAGCCAGTCGGTAGTAGCACCATCTCCATCGCCTCCGTTAGCACCGTCAACACCTTCACCATCGACATCCATAGCAGCAGCATCGACGCCCTCGCCAGTACCACTGCTTTTAGCATCAGCTGTATCGCCTCGTGATTCATCTGCACCTGCTTCTTCTGGAAGAAAAAGAAAACATACGGGAGAAGTGATCAGGATCATGCATGAACACACAGAATTGCTGAGGAGTGTTGTGGATGATACCAAGGTGCTAACAAATGAGGTTGTTACTGCCATAAGGGAGCAAAATGACACCTCCAAAGAGTTTTTAAATTTAATGAAGATTTTCATAGATAAGTTTTAGACAATAAGCGTACATACACTCGTCGTAATAACTATAAATCCACCACACATTGAAAAGTTTTACCAACTAATATTTTTATTATTTAATTAATTTTTTTTTATAAAAAATACATGTAGTCTATTCTTAAGCAAAAACTGTACAAATCCACATTTCAAAAAGTAGATAACTTATGCAAAAATCCATCTATATGTTTAGCTTTTTGATAAGATTTTTTAGAAAGATTTGTAGTATGCAGTTTTATAGATTATCAAATTTTAGTACAATAAAGTGCAAGTGCGAAGTTTCTGAAAAATTCCGCTGACTCTACACTTACACTTAATTCTGCTAAAATTCAATGGGCTATAAAACTGCATATTAAAAATGTTTTTAAACAACATTAAAAAGCTCAAAACTTAGATAGAATTTTGCAAAAATTTTCTACTTTTTACACAAAGTTGGAAATTTGGAATTATACAGTTTCTGCTTAAAAATAGACTATATTGAAAATGACTTAAATAATAAAAAAATAGTTGGTAAAACTTGTCAATATGGGGTGGGTTACAGTTATTAGGACGAGTGCATGTTAAAATTAATATTTTAAAAATATGTGAAATGACATAAATGAATAGACCGAATTGTTTTTTAGTTTTATAGTCATTATATTACAAGTGCTTGTTAAAATTAATTTCTTTAAAAGTGAAATTAATAGACTGAATTGTTTCTTAATTTTATAGTTATTAGATTACAAGTGCTTGTTAAAATTAATTTCTTTAAAAGTGAAATGAATAGACTGATATTTTTTTAATTTTATAGTTATTAAGTTAAGACGAGTGCATGTTAAAATTAATATTTAAAAACTAAGTGAAATGACACAAGTGAATAGACGTAATTTGCTTTAATTTTATAGTTATTAGATTAATAGGTTTTTATAGTTAGTAAGTAGAATTAATAAAATAAAAAAAATGCATCAAAAAGATAGTTAATAGTAAGAAAGTGGATTAATAAAAGAATGAATTTAATTATTTATTGGTGTTTTCGGATATAGATTAATGTTTATAGGAAACTTGTGCTTACGGAAACTGCGAGCTATTGCAGTTCTAATAGCGGTCGCACTCTCATCATTTTCGCCAACTCTTGTAGTGTGGCTTGGCTGACTTCTAGCATAAATATCTTCTCTTGAATCTTGCATCCAACCAATAGAAACTTCGTCATTTTTTAATTTCAAGAAGTTGTGCAAAATGCAGCATGTTCTAACTATGGTGCTTATGTTTTTTTAGGGCGACTTGTAAGCCTCTACCTATTTTTCTGAACCGTGCTTTAAGTTGACCGAATGCATTTTCGATTAGACGACGACACCTAGATAGTTGGTAGTTAAAGGTTTTTTCTATAGAAGGCTGATTCGGCGAATATAAAAACGGTTTCATCATATGGCGAAAAGCAGAATCGCCTATTAGTAGAACGGGTACATTGATGCCGCCTATAAATTTGCCATTCTGCGTAAAAATATCGGCAGTTTCATGGAATCTTTTCTATGCACTCTTTTCGAAAATATAAGAGTCGTTGTTTCTACCAGTAGATCCAATATTTATGTTAGTAAATTTTGATCTGTAAAAAGTTTAGGCATTACATTAAATTGTTATAAATGAATTTTAATAAAAGTTTCAAAATACCGGTGGTCACAGCTCGCCAGCAAGATCACTGAATACCAACCCTTGTAATTGTATTAGTCTGTTGCATCATCTTTTGGTGGTTGAACTACTATGTGGCAGCCATCCACAGCTTCAAAGCATTGAGGAAACCCAATTCGCGCGAATCCATCAACAACTTTTCTGATTTCGCGTTGATTTGGAGGATAGGAATTAATGCAGTCAGATAGATTTTCGCATACTGCTTGGCAAAAATCCAAAACAATTTCACCAACAGTACTGCGTCCTACTCCGAAAAGACTTGCAACAGTCCTGTACTCCGCTGCAGATCCCAATGCGAATAGTGAGATAGCAACTCTTTTATGAAGTGGAATGCATGGCCTCATATGAGTGTCCGCCTTTTCGATGCCTCGAACTTTTTCACAAATTATCCGAAAAGCATTTCTATTGAGTCGAAAATTTTCTTTGAAACGATTTTCGTCCATTAAAGGCACATCACGTTCCCAAAAAGCGCCACTGCGATCCTTTAAAGAATATTGCATGTTTATTGTACTAATGGAAATAAAAGATATGCTTACCAATTTCCACAGCTGCCTTTCTGTTATATCAGGAAGTGTAACAATCCCAGCTTCAAACATCGTGGTAAGGTCTATGCTTGCCAATGCATTAATTATTTTCATATTGTTGAATACTTTTAAAAGAAGAATGTTAAGTTTCTTTTTAAATAAGTAATTGTTTTTTGCCAACAAAATAGCTGCTAAACGTATTTTTTCTCTTCTTTCCATTTTGAGCTCAAAGTTTTTGTCAAATCAGCTGATAACTAAATGCGCAGGTAGAAGAAGAAAATTTGTTATGCACAATGGTGCTGTCTGTCAGGGGTAAACATGATATTTGCATTTGTGCCACTTAATTCAACTTATCTCAGCCTGTCTGTCTCCGCTATAAGTCTAGAATATCAACAATCTAGTTATGCAAAAACCAAAAATATTAATCGATAACACTTCTAGTGCTGATTTCAACCCTACCAAAATTATCTGGTGGAAGTAAAGACTAAAGAATGTATCAATGGTTGAACTTAAATGTTTTGATTTCTTTAAATAATTATATCTTCTGAACAACATAACCTATAACAAAACTAATGGCGTTAAAATAGAGGTAATTAACTTGGCTGTCATACATGTATATAATTTATATGATTTTTTATAGTTTTAATCCGAAAATACTAAAAACACAAAAAAATATAAATATATTTTTTTAAATGGTGTTTATATGCAATTAGTTTTAAAACTTGTTATAGTATATACGTCGCAAAAAACGTATTTAAATTATGTTGAAATGAGTATCAATAACTTTTTAATCGGTTAAGCAGTTTAAACACATAAGAAATAGAAATTTTTGGAATGTAAGCTCTTTTATTGGATTTTGTCTTTATTTTCATCAAATAATTTTGGCATGGTTGAAATCAGCGTAAAAAGTTCTATCGATTTCTTGTTTTTTAATAGCTAAACGATTGGTATTCTAGACTTATTTGTGTGTGTTTTAAATCCTGTAGTTAGGGAGCAAGGTAAATGAGAATAAGAAAAAGTAAACAAAAAAAAGTCAAATTAAAGTCTGAGCTTCTTAAACACCCCTATGTGAACACTTGACAGTTGCTCATAAACTCAAAACGTTAAACTCGAATTTATGGCTCAATGAGGACGTAATTTTAGGCCGAGAGCTTTACGCTTAGTAAGGATGTGAGCTCTCCAAGTTAATCTTCTATCAAAGTGCATTCCAAGAAATTTAGTTTCGTTGCTTTGTGGTATGTTAACATAGTTCAGTTGGAAAGATTGGAAAAGATTTATTAGAAAAAGTGCCAATGGTGACGCCATGTACAATAGACAATTTCACGTATGGAGGATTACGTAGGGCCATTACGCTGCCTTGCACCCCAGCTAAGCTTTCTACGCCTTGTTAACGAAGAAGTGACGCTCTTTCAGATTGGTTTCAATGAATATGTACATGGGTCATTCCATACAATATTTACACCTCAATACTTTTTTTGGGGTGAAATATATATTTTTTACATTCTTTAACGAAAAAAGAAGACACCGAGTTTTTGTATTTCGTCATGATATTCGAAAATATCGAACAAAAAGTTCCCCAAATTTTGAACTCAAGGAGAAGTAAATTTTTTCAATTGTTTGAAGTTAATCAACTATTTGTCTGAGAAAATCAGTTAAGATATTTAAATGTGCGTAACTACCTCGGCTTTCCATGAGAGTGTAAGAAAGGTTAATATATAAAAAGTAAAAAAGTCTAAGTTCGGGTGGAGCCGAACATTAAGTTCCCGGCGCAAGTGATATTTGTGATTTGTGATATTTATTGATGAAAGCATTTGTACAACTTAAGACAAGAACAGTCTTTTAAAAGTACATAAACTACATACATACATGCATAGATATGGATCAAATATAATTGGAAGTTAAAATATGTAACCGATTAACTGTCAACCTGTGCGGACGTGTTTTTTAATCGCTCCGCCGAGAAATTATTAATAATTCACGTAAAGCAAAGAAGAAAAAAAAAACAGAACCAACGAGTAAAGACAATACTAGGCATAAATAAGCTTTCTGCTTATTTGCTTATAATTATAAATTACTTTTTCAGAATTTTCGCAATGCCGCGAGAAATTCAAATAAATGTGCCAACATACAATAAAATAAAAGCATCTCCGGCCCCACCGCGCTTACCGAATAATAGTGAATCAAGCACCAAGTGTAGTGAAATAAACCTTGCCGTAACAGAAGCTGACCAAAAGCACTCAGCTGATCGACGAAATGCTTACTTTTCGTTCGTTTCCCCCACAAACAATGCTGATCGCACAAACGGAAATTTCGGCACCAGCCCAAGCCAAGCAACGCAGCTCAGCGCAAGTTGTCCTACTTAATCCAACAACCCGTACATTGACTCAAACGGGTATTGATAGGTATATACAAGTCAAACGAACATTAAGCCCACAGCAGCAAAAAATTTGCAAACTCATCAAAAATTGCAAAAACGAAAACCACTGACATTAACCCTCTACTGGGAAATAAGTTTGCGATTCTGGACAATGAATGTGACAAAGAG